CAGCATGACTGAAGCTTACATAGCTAATGCTGCATGGACGCCGTTTCAGACTTCCTGCTGCTTTTATCTGTTTCTGGAAATGGAGTTGTACAATGGGCTCGGTTTGATGTCAGCTACAGCAGGTGATTTGAGCAACAGTCTTTTCATGTATGTGTGTATATATATATATATTTGCGTGTATCTCTCTCTCTATATATGAAACTTTCTTTTCTTTGCAGAGGTAGTGTGGGAGAAGGTCAGATCTAGCTGGCACAAACCCTTTGGGAAGAAGCAAAGAAAATGGAGGAATTCAGGGAAGAGCAAAAACTGCATCGGAAGAAGGTCAGGATGTTGATCCACTACCAATTACCATCCTTGGTGATGGATTTTGGCTCCTGGCTCGTTTCTCCCACCATGCCCCAGCCCCCTGCATGCTCCCAGTGCCTGTCGCTGCTGGGAAGTCCTGAGCTCCTTCCTATATGTTGAAGCCCTGCTGCTGAACCTCTGACTTCCTTCTTCTGACTGCCACATCTTCTCCTTTGGGTGCCTTTTGGGGCTGGCTATCGCAGGGCTCACCTCCAGAGACACCAGCCTCAACCAGGAATGTTCTTAAAGCATAGAGACATATATCTCATACATTATAGTGTTGCGTGATGTCCATAGGGTTTGCTAAAATTGGCAAGTCTTTTAACCTCTTCTGGCTTGAGATTCCTTTGTCTGGAAAATGAGAGAAAACTGCTGCAAGTTTGGACGTAGCAGAAGGGAGCTGGCTTCCCAATTTTCCTAGATTCAATGGAGATGATACAGTACTATATAATGGTGGATTTCATTTGTAGAGTTCCATTGCATAGACAGGTGGAGGCTTAGCTAGAAGTATAAAAGGTGGGTTTTGTGAAGATGCTTGATGTGGACATAGGTCCTTAAGGCCATCTGAATTTGGTCTGTGCCTCTTCCTTTCCTAAGCCACATAGTCCATCGTGAAGCTTCGATGCTCAGTGATGTGTTGACTCTCTTGTCATCACAGATAGACCTGATAATGGAGGCGATTCAGAAAATCAGGAGTCTGCAGTACGAGAAGACCATGGTGGTAAAGCAAACATGCTGCTCTTTCTTGCTCTATGGTTTAACACTGCTACCATACGTGCACAGTGCTGGCACAGTCTTACATATGAGGGTCTTCCTCTGCTGCAACTCATGCAGACACTACATCAAGAGCTGCAGCAGAGGAAGACCGTCACATTTAAGTCTGCATAGTGTGCTCTGAAAAACTGAAGAGTACACCAGGGACGTGGCTGGTAGCAGCCTTGCACGGTTGGATAAGAGTGATTTAGATGTCACGGACTCGATTGCTATGAGCTTTTCATGCCAAATGAAGAGCAGCTTGTCTTGTGAGGTCAGTTTTGGTCAAGCAGCAGGGCACTGAGTGCCTTGTGTGCTGTCCCCTGCTCTGCGGGCAGCCTTTGGTAACCTCTTCACTTGGAGGCTGTTTTGCTCTAGAGCTATGTGCACGAGCTGTAATAGTACCTCCTTGCTTGCTAACACGCTCCTGCCCTGTTTGTTGGCTCTCCTAGGCCAAGCGCCTTTATGAGCAGCACCGCATGGATAAGGGTGAGGCGGAACAAGCTGTGCACCACAACACAAACGTGGTTACACAGAAGCAGCAGGAGAAGGTATAGAGAGGCGGGTGGCCATGGGACAGGAAGGGTGTATGCTCTTTGGGCTCTCCTGCCCCATAACTCTTCTCCCAGCTCTGGGTTTGGGGGTGAGATGGAAGGGCTGGCAATGTTCTCTAGCTGGCCTTCAATACCGTTGTGATGCACGTTAGCTCTCCTGTAGCTTTCTTCTGTCTCCCAGTTTTGGCAGCTGTTCCTCAATCTGGCTCAGATGAAATCACCTCCGGAAGACTCTGGTGAGTGTGGCAATGCAGGGTTTGGAGGGTGAGGGGAGTGTTTGCTGGGGCAGGGGTTGTGAAGCCATGGCATGGCTCTTGAGCGAGCTCCAGCTTCTGGGTCAGGGCTGGCTCCTCAGAAACTCATGCCCAACATAGCAGAGATGGCTTCGCACCCCATTTCCCGTTTCTCACCGTTTCTCTGTGGCATGACCTTCCACCTTGCTGCACAGCTCTGTATTTCCTTGCGGTGCACATCCATAGCTGAGCTCACACGTTACTGCTGCTTTCTCCCTGACGTCCCTGCCGATTCAGGTTTTGTGTAGTGCCTTCTAGCAAAGGGTCCTTTTAATCCATGTTAATCAGATGACAGTGTGATTTGTTTCAAAGGCAGGAGTTACCAGCAGAGCGTTACCACACTGGAGAAGATCCGGGAAGAACGGCAAAGAGCACGTCAAAGCTTGTGAGGTGAAAGCCCCCAAACACCTTCACGTGGCAGTGTGGTCCTCTGGATGTCCACTCCTTGTTGTAGAAGTCCGGGATGGCACAGATCTGCCTTCTCTCTGTTGCCCTGGCAGTGAAGCAGCAGGATGTGTTGCAGCTAACACTGTGTGTGCCTTAGGCGTGCCTTCTGCACTTAAGGTCCCACCACTTCAAGGTTTCCAGTAATTTTTTTTGTTTGTTTTTATTTTTCCTTCCACTACCTTTTCAAAGTAACAGAATCAAAGCAGTGACCTTTTCGCCCATTAACCTGCTTGCGCGTTTGGTGTGGCCATTATCCTGAACAGCCGTAGTCACTTCCAGGTACTCAGTGACTTATGGCCAGTGTGTTCTACAGCCACGACACCACCTAGCAGACTCTGAAACTCTGATGGACTTTAAATGAATTTGCAGTAGAAGGCGCTGACACACTGGGGATGCAAGCTGGGTGAAGCTATCTCCATGTGAACCCAGTGTGCCAGCAGCCCTTCGCCATATATCTCACGTGGTAGCATGGGAACCCCTCTGAGCAGATGTATCAGTCTAAAGCAGACTGTGTCATAGCAAAATGGTCTAGCCAGGACTTCCAGCAAGTGCCAGGGAAATCCAGAGCTGGTTGCAAGAGGACCGTGATGCTGCTCTGCTGCTGACCTGTGTCTTGCAGCTGTCTGTGATGTGTAACCAAGGGTTTAATGAGGTGATGCGGCTCCTCTGCTCTCGTGAGACCTCACTTGGAGTATTGCGTACAGTTCTGGTGTCCTCAATATGAGAAGGACGTGGAGCTGTTGGGGCTAGTCCAGAGGAGGGCCACGAGGATGACAAGGGGGCTGGAGTACCTCCCATATGAAGACAGGCTGAGAAAGTTGCGGCTGTTCAGACTGGAGGGGATAAGGCTGCGTGGAGTCCTCCGAGCAGCTTCCAGTATCTGAAAGGGGCCTACGAGAATGCTGGGGAGGGGACTCTTTGTTAGGGACTGTAGTGTCAGGACAAGGGGTAATGGCTTCAAACTTAAGCAGGGGAAGTTTACGTTAGATATAAGGAAGAAGTTCTTTACTGTGAAGGTGGTGAGGCACTGGAATGGGCTGCCCAAGAAAGCTGTGAACGCTCCATCCCTGGCAGCCTTCAAGGCCAGGTTGGACGCAGTCTTGGGTGGCATGGTTTAGTGCGAGGTGTCCCTGCCCATTGCAGGAGGGCTGGAACTAGATGATCTTAAGGTCCTTCCCAACCCTATTCTATGATTCTGTGATTCTATGGACAGGAAGTGCAGAGGTTGAGGTTTTATCCCATGTCTGCTGCAAGCTGGCAAACAACAAGTGATAACAAGTGCATATGCGCATGTGGGATGAAAGGCTGCCTTCCAGGTTCATGAAATTGAGCTATACCAGACAGCACATTTCAGAAGACTTGGGTTTAAAGCTACTTGGAAAAGGGATGGGCAGGAAAGAGAGAGAAGACAAATGAGTCAAGACACTTTGCTTTCGTAGATCCCCATGCTTTTTTATTGCTCCATAGTTGTGGGAGAGAAGTCAGCAGGGACTGCAGGACCATGGGGTACCTAGGAAACATGCAGTGCCTTTAGGAAGCTGGCTTCGTCTCCCCAGAGGTAGTGTTGTGCTGAGTGACCCCTTCCGCATGGGCCCTGCAGACCTTCCTGAACTTAACGCTCATCTTTGAAATACCTGGGTGTGTAAAGGGATGACTTCTTGTCTGGACGAGGTCTTTTCCAGCCTAGTTGGTTCTATGATTCTATGACTCATGGTTACCATGTTTCCTGCAGAAGACCAACATCACCTGCTCGTTGCTGTGGACAGAGATCTTTGTAGTGGGATGAGAAGAGATCAGAATAGAGGAGATTTGCTCTCTTCTCACAGATGTTAGGGCTGTTTTGTCTGTGTCGTTTCAGTTCTTTGAGACCCAGGAGTGCGAGCGGATCAACTATTTCCGCAGTGCCCTCCAGCTTCATGTTAGCCCACTGTGACGTGCCTTGGTATCAGGTCTCTGTAAAGCCCAGGCTGGCCTAACCTCTTGCCTTCCCACTAGGTCTGGGAGGGCAGTTGGGGAGCACAGAGCCAGGGCACTGGGAGTCCCGGAGCCACGCAGATCCTCAGCTCTGACTTTTCTAATGTGCAGGAAGGCACCTCTACCCACCCCGACCAGTGCACCAGAATTACTTGCTTTATGGGGTTTCTGGCTCCACAGAAGAACTCTGCTTTTGCTCTTCCCCATCAGATCGTGAGCGTTAGCTGTCTAAAGGGAATGGTTTAGGTGAAGTCCGCCCCCCCCCCGAAAGATCCTGGGAAGTTGGACTCTGACTTTGGAGACAAGGTTTCACTAAGGAGAAGTTCTGATCAAAGCCCTGTATGTAGGCATTTGTGGAGCTTAAGGATGTCCAAGCTTGGGATCCCACCACTCTGCAGTTTGGGCCTTTCCCTCATTCAGCACCATGAGCTATATAATTCCCAGAGGCACTTTGGTGATGGAACTTGGTAAAATGCCTTGGTTGTTTGGCAAATCATAGAATCAAGACATCTCTTTCAGCCTCATCCACCATTGCCTTCCATCCCTTTGACACAGGTGGCCAGTGTTTCTGTCCTGTGTAGTCTTGTAACGAGCACTTCTCATAAGCAGACCTCATTTTTTTTTGTGCTCTCTGTTTCAGGTGAGCCTGATTATGCCACAGTTGACGGCTACATCACTAGATGCTGTTGATCCTGTTTGTAGGTTCTCCAGGCAGAAGACACTGTTGGTCTGGCCAGTGTGGTGGTGTTTCCAGTTACTCCCAGCTGTGAGAGAAACAGTGTTGTTTTCGCATATTTGGGGATGGGGCTTTACAATATTAAGACTTTCCAATCTTAGAGCTTTAAGATCAATAGTAAAACTTTGCAAAAATAATAAGAGTTTTCAATACTAGGTCTGGGATTAAGTTCCTAAGGCAATGAAGGAAAGGGTTTGAGATCTACTTATTCAAATAGACACGCTTTGTGCTTAAAGACAGTGTCATCTCTAGATGAAAGACACACTGTGGTTAAAAAGAATACTATCTACATATAACCTAGGAAACTAAACCGGTGCAGGCTGGTTAAGCAGTAAGTTGAGGTAACTTATTTATACCCAGAGTATTATCTCCAACCATACTGGGAATCACCTTGTCCTGGGTGATGTTTGGTTTACAACTGGCTTTAATGGGTGGATCTCACCCAGCGCATAGAGAAAATCTCTACAAAGTAAAATTATGATATGTAAAGGTCACATAGAATCTGAATGTGGGGCGTTAGAGTGTGGTCCCGTGCCCTTGCTATTGCAAGTGCTGGAGGGGCAATAAGACAAGTTCATGGCTGGGGGGCAGATGTGACAGGAGGGGATTCAATTGCTAGATTTAGAACAGGGGTTTGGGAGCCAAAGAGGAACGAATGCGACCAGCCTGTGGACATCCACCATTCCTCCATCGGTGGGCACACGCACTCCACCAAATAGTCCTAAGATAGTAAATGTAATTGCAATTAAAGATTTGAAGTAGATGTTTGAAATAGAAACAGGATATAGAAATAGAAATGTCTGGGTAGAACGGGTCAAATATCCAGGGAAAATAGAATCGTTTTAGATATATTAGCTGAAAAGGGAGGAATATGCATAATGCTAGGGAATACGTGTTGCACATCTATTCCAAATAATACAACACCAGATGGAGGCATAACCAGGGCCTTACAAGGCCTCACTATGTTGGCAGAAGAGCCGGCTGAAAATACAAGAACAGGTTACTTCATTAACAGGATGGTTAGAATCCTGATTTGGAAAATGGAGAGGAATGGTGATATCAGCTTTTACTTCTATAGTTGTAGTAGCAGGTGTATGAATAGCTATATGGTGCTACATAATTCCATATATAGGAAGACGTGTGCAACTTCTTGAAACAACTTTGTTGAACTAACTTTGTCAAAACAAATGCTCATGGGACCACCACCCTACTCTGATCTTGCTTGGTGTAGCAGTCCACAGCGCAGCTACCCAGTGAGAGGCTGTGCTGCCACAAACCTGCACCCTGCAGTGTTGCTGAGGATCTGGAGAAGTTGGTCAGCTCTTCAACCACCTCTCCAAGGAGGGGCTTGCAGACTTCTAGGTTCACGGTATAGCTTGTGCCTGGTAGGCTCTGCAGACCCTCATTTGATTAACTTCTGGTAAAGAAGTCCCTTGGACTTGTTGTGACTATGTACCACTGGAAAAAAACTTAGTTGTTAATGTTGGGCTGGAGCCCTGAAACTCATTTTCTGACCGTATCTCCCAAAGTTCTTGCTTTTTTTGTTACCATATACGTGATCACGGCTTTGATTCAGAAACTCATGTGCTGCAGGGCTGCTGGTCTCTCTCATATCCTCATGTGCAGCATTGCTTAAGAAGCTCCTCAGTGCCTTATGGCACAGGGATGGAGGATAAGGGGACCAGCACACAGTTCAGCTGTTTAAACCCGGTGCCAGGTGCCTTAACTTTGGAGCAACGGGAGTTGCTGATGTATGATATTCTTCAAGTTGAATCTGCGTGACTTCAGTGCATGTCTAAGCCAAACAGTTCCCGGAGCTTTTACTGTATTTCCTTCTGCGGAGAAGATGGCAGTGAGCTTAAACATCTCTCCTGATGCACTACAACGGACTGTGCAAAGTGCACATGCGAAGGAATCGGCTGTCCATTTTTATTTCTGAAAGACCAAGTGTAGAAATATTCTGCTGAAGGACCCTGCTGTAGTCTTAGTTCTTACATACATCTTCTATGATTAAGTTTTGAGACTTGCGTGGTGGCTATCTTTCTTCTGAAAGATGTCATACTCACTTTTTTTATCTAGGCTAGGGCTGGTACACCTTCAAAGCACCCTAGGATGTTCAGGTTCCTTCTCCTGGGAGGAAGCCTACAAGAGCATATCCTTGCTCAGCCTTTATTTCCTACTTGCTCAATACCACGACAGCTCTGGGACAGAACACACCAAGACTTTAGCCTCCCCCTGCTCCCCTAGAGTCAGGCTGAGTTTCCTCACAGGCCTCTCTAGAGGGGTCTGTCCTCCTCCCAGACACCCACAGAAGTGAAGGGCCTAACAAGAGAGCCTGATAACCAGCTGCACAGCTCCTGCCTTCCCCCCTAGGGACAGAGAGGCCACAGCTGCTTTAGTAAGACAAAATAAGCAGAGGGATACAGGTAGCATGGAAGTCTTATGTCCCTTCAGATGCTGGGCATCCTGCCTTCAGGCAGAGTTAGAGCTCTTCCTTTTTGGTCCTATGAGCTAATACAAAAAGCATCACAAGAAAACAGCATTAGTTATGAAGGAAGTTCACAGGAGCACTTCTTGCTGCGTTTCCAGATACAGGCAGGGCCAGGCAGCTGGTGTGTCAGTATCAGGCAGGAGCTGCCCATAAACCCCGTTAGCAGGCCTTGGGCAGTGCAGACCAGCCCTGTGCCTGCTCAGGGGATCACCACCTCCGTAATGTGCAATGGGCTCCTGGTCAGGATCATCTCTGCCTTGACCCACACGCAATTTACCTTTCCCACAGGTATTATAAATGACACATGATGTTGATAACAAAGGGTCTTCTCAAGGCCAAGTACAAGGCCTAAGAGAGTGGACATTACCTGTTCAAGATCATTAGGTCTTTGACTACAATGTCTTCTGCAAGGAGGGACTGAGCTCTGCAGGGACTCCTCCATCTGGGGACTGGCTGCAATCACTTCTGCTCCAGTGGGGCATGGCCTCGGCTCCAGCGGTGGCTCCCTGGGGCAGCTGAGCACCTGAGTAGGGATCAAAAGGGTCAGTGACGCCTGGTCCCCCAGGCTGAGACTGGAGCCCCGCTGCGGCTGGAGATGCCTCAGGCACTGCAGACAGGCTGCCCCGCTCCGGTGGCACTTCCGGGTCCTGCTACAGCACAAGTAGAAAGAAGAGAACTCACACTCCCCAGCCTCAGTAGTAGGGCCTTGGTTTCTTACCTCGCATTCCCTATAGCGGCAGCTGGACCTCCCCACAGACCCTTATAGAGACACCTGGATTTGTCCCAGACTCTTATGGAGGAGACTCCCTCCCCACCCCCCTCCGCACCGGGGGCGTTACAGCAGAGCCTGGCCCCTCCGCAGGTCCCTATAGGCGAAGCTGGCCTCCTCCTAGGCTCCTCTAGATGAGCCTTGCCTCCCTGCCAGTCCTTTTAGGGGGAGCCTGGCCACTCCCTTATAGAGAAGTTTGGATTCTTTCCCGGCTCCTAGAGATGATCCTGGCCTCCCAGCCGGTCCTCAGTAGGGGAACTTACCTCCCTCCCAGGCTCCTGTAGAGGAGCTTGGCCTCCACACAGCACTTTATAAAGGATTCTGTTCCCCCACAGGCCCTTGTAGGAGGGCCGATCCTCATCTCTAACACTTATGGAGGGGCCTGGCCTCCCCACAGGATCCTATGGGGTAGTCCCACCTCTCCCCACGCCCTTACTAAGGAACCTAGCCTTCCCATATCTGAGCCTATATGTGAGCCTACCCCAAGCCCGCTCCCATCCTGACAGGAGACCTGCCTCACCCAGGCCTGGCGGCCATGCTCCGGCTCCCAGCTCTGCGTTCTGCGCTGAGTAGATGGGGACCCGGAACGGCGAGTGAGTGGCGCCGGCGACAGCGGCTGGGAAGCACGGGCAATGCTGCTGCAGTGGCATGACGGACCCGGGTGCTTGGACTAACCCAAAGGAATCCGCCGCTGGGGCGAACCAGACACTGCTGCTTCGGGAGGCCGATTCGGAGACTGAGGTTACAGGACGACCCAGAAGAAGACGATCCGGAAAAGGCTGGCCATGAAAATGGACTGAGAGGTAGCCCTGGACTTATTACTGTGCTTTTTATAAAAGCGGGGAACTGAGCCCTGAACTTTTTACAATGCTTTTTATAAAAGCGGGGAATTGAGCCTGAGACTCTAAAGCAGCTAGCAGGTCTACTGGCTGTAGGGAAGGCTAAGAGATTTTTTTTGCAGATCCTAATACAATATTTGAGGAGAGTGAGTGGCGGAAGTTTGGTGATGAACTATTTGACTCAGTGCTTAATGATTATAAAAAGGCAAAGAAACTCGGTAAACCACGGAGGGAAATAATGAACTGTATAAAAAGATACAAGGCAGAAAAGAAAACTGCCGTGGTAGCAATGGAGAAACTAGGAACAGACGTCCCCGGTCGGTTGAAACCGGGGGAAGATTACAACTCATTTCCTCCAGCTCGCGGAAGCACAGGGTTTCCCCCCACCCCCTTCCTTTTCTCCCCCTCCATCAGAAGGTGCCGCGGAGGAGGTGTAACCCCTTGCTCCCCCACCACCCCAGTTCCGAAAGTAGGGACTTTGAAAAGGACAGAGAAAGTATATTAGAAGGTATACGCATGATAAATGTCGAGAAATCCGAAAGAAAGAGGGCGGTGCCTCGGCGCCGGATCGATTGCGGCACCACTGTGAAGCACGCAGTAGAAAATGGGGATCATGCGCGAGCGGGAGATTTAAAAGAACCGCGAGCCTTTCCAACCCACTATGCCTTAGAGTGAAAAAATTTTTAACTCGGTCACGGAGGAGCCAGGTCTGCAGATGGCTACATACCGAACGAGATACATCTGATAAGAAAGACACAGCTGCGAGCAACGGAGACCCCGAGTTCGGCGCAGGATCAGCCCCCGAATCCCCTGAATCCGAGCCAGATTTATATCCTCTGCTTCCAGACCCTGACTCTTCGTCTCCCGGGTTGGTCTGCTCAGACTTACTGGCCCTGGAGACGCTCAGTTGTAACAATGGGTAACCAAAGAGGTGAACATTACTGGGAAATTTTCTGCAATGGGCATCTTTGCATATCCTGTGTTTACTACACAGCAGGGGGCTAAAGAGTGGGAAGCTCTTGATCTCAAAATAGTTAAGGAGGCCTGACAAACAGTGACCACATATGCGTTAAAATCCTCTTATACTCAAGCTGTATATATTATGATTTTTTCTTGCATTTGACAGGGGGAGCCCATACAGTTTCTCTGTGATACTCATGTACTAGAAGTTGGTAAATATAAGTATGTCCAGGTTTCTATCAACCCTTGGAGACCTCTGTAGATACTGCTGGCCACTTCTTCCAGCACAGGCTGGCCACCTGTGTCGGAATGAGTGTGCATTTTGGTCAGTATAAAAGCCCAAGCCTCATATGATGGGGAGGCAGAGCCTCTGCGGGGACGCCTGCTAAGGTTGAGCCTGCCACCTCGCACTGCAATGATGCTTCTCGGAGCTGATTTGCTATTAGTCTCCACAGGGTCCTTGTGCCACGTTCTGTACGTGGGACTGTAGTGGGAGTAATGATGGCTTTTGCAGGGACTAAAAAAAAAAAAAAAAAAAAAGAAGGGGGGAGAGAGAGAGAGTAATGATGTTACATTTAACTTTAACCTGTCTACTTCTGAAGAACTGATAACCTGGGGGAGGAGGTATATTTGTCCCCTTGTGCCTACAGGTCCATGGCGACTGTCTGCAAAGTTTGTGAAGCCCTGCCATGAGCTGGACAGACGAATGGATAAACCTGATGCCTCAGCTACAGGAGCTGACCGTGATTACCCCAAGCAGAATGAGATAGAGGAAGAGAAAGAACAAATAACTGCAAAACATCACTTGGGGGCATCTGAAAAGTAACATCCTGAATAAAAGTAGCTATGTTAGAGGTTGTGATTTTGTGTATAAAACCACCTGTATTTACTAGCTAGTTGCTAATAAGAAACTGCACCTTGTATTGTATAGATTTGTCACTTGTAAAAGAGATGTTAGAGTACGGAAATTTGCAGTAGCTGCTAGAAAATGCTAAGGCAAAAGCTAGAAAGATTTTAATACAATGGTAGTGTTATAAAGCAGGTGATGGAACAAATTAAGAGGGGGGGAGAATTCCACTGGTAAGAAATTTCTTTGGCTAGTCCTTCACTGCCATCAGCATCTTCAACATGCTGCTGCACCCTGTAATAGTTACTCTGCTAATGTAAATGTGTGTGTGCCTTGCTGTAGTAGCAACTTGTTACTGGATAAAACAAAAGGGGGGAGATGTGGAGACAGTGTTCTCACGGGAGAATGCATAATTGGTACATAAACTTTGAATAGTCCTGAAAGATACAGCAAGGCCATGAGAGGCCCGAAGAAGCTTAAGCAAGCAAGATAAGAGGCTGGAATTCACCAAGTTAATGAGAACTGTGGACTGTTGGCAAGCTTTCAAGGTTGAGTTCTCACACCTGTCTTTAACCAATTATATGTTAGTCACTAAGGGTCTTCAAAACATGTATCCAATCATAATATGCCAAATCACTGTAAGTGCTTCAGCCGGGGCCTTGGCTCAACTAAGCAGACTGGGTTGCTGAGTTGCTAAGCAGACAATTCTACATCGAAGGCAATTTCTGATTTGTTTTAATGTTGACTCTCTGAGACATGCAACACTGCAGAACCTTTTGTTGTTGGAACAGGGACATGGATGTGAAGAGTTTGATGGAATGTGTTGTATGAGTTTCTCTGATTATGCTAATTCGATGCACGCTGTCATGGTTTAAACCCAGTCAGGTAACTCGTTCGCTTACTTCCCCCCCCCCCCCCTTTCTTGCCCTCCCCCTGCTCTCGGAGGGACAGAGAGGAGAATCGAAAAGAATGCAACTCCCACGGGTTGAGATAAGAACAGTTTAGTAACTAAGGTATAACACAAATCACTGCTGCTACCACCAATGATAATAATGATAAAGGAAATAACAAGGGAAGAGAATACAACACCTCAGCACTAGCCGACCGATAACTCGCCCCCCCCAGCCCGACCAAGCACCGACCGATACCTCCTCCAACCCTGCAGTCTCCCAGCCCTTCCGGCTAACTCCCAGTTACATCCTGGGCATGATGTGCTGTGGTATGGAATACCTCTTTGGTCAGTTTGGGTCAGGTGTCCTGTCTCTGCTTCCTCCCGGCTTCCCCTCCTCCCTGGCAGAGCATGAGGCTCACAAAGTCCTTGGCCAAACCAAAACATCGCTATCAGCTCTGTTCCTGAGATGAAAGTCAAAACACTGCACTGCACCAGCTACCAAGAAGGAGAAACATGACTGCTACTGCTGAACCCAGGACACACGCACAGCTGAGAACCCTGGCTCAGCTTACCCAGCAATAGTAAATGAGCAGTATTCTAAGAATAATTAGATGGTTGTTTTCACGGGGCATTACAGGTTGAGTCAAACACTGTTTAAAAGTATTGCACTTATGTATCATTGATTAGGTTAATCATCGTAGCTATAAGACTTGCTTATAGTTGTGTGATAAAACAGGTGAACAGAATAACCCATAATGCCTTGCTTGCACAAAGAAAAAGGGGGGAATTGTTGCAGAATGACTCTAAGAGCAGAACCATAGAGTTCTGGAGGACTGTGCGAGCAAGGCAGGGGTTGGCCCCCACAGGTGGCCGGAGATCGGACCTGAGAGGAGAATGTGGAGGAAGCTGTGGGGGGCTAACCAATACTGTTGTGCCAAGAAGGAGTGGCTGAGTACCACTCCTATATATGTGTGAACTGTGTCACAAATAAAGTAGAAGTTGCTTATCACCCATATTGGGTTGGCCTGTCTGTTTCTCCTCGCCGCTTACAGGCAGGTTTTATCTTTCCATAACACGGACTTTGTTACCACTGTGCTCATTCCCCCTTAAGCCAACGCGACTGATCCTGGCTGCAGCAGTGAGGATGGTACTCCTGCAAAGGAAGTTTTTTTACATGTTCGGTGACAAATGTATCTTGCAAACTACTGTTTGAAGACAGAATCCTGAATCCCTGGGTACGTAGCTCTACTTCTACCTGAATCTCTTAAGCTTAATAATCCTCGCTGTGACACATTCTTCTGAGGTAGTGTATGATCTCTATTTCCCAAG